AAAAAAAAAAAAAAAAAAAAAAAAAAAAAAAAAAAAAAAAAGAACATAAGCAAATAACTTACCGTAAATCCAAGCGGGTAATCTCCTGATTTGGGCCAGAGCCCATTTTTCACAAAACGATTTCCAGCAGAAATTTTCCGCATTACATCAAGTAGAAGCCCAACGGCGAGATCTGCTACTTCTGCAGAGAAGATGGTGCAGGCATTAGCAACAGAAATGTGGCGGCGACGGCACTCAGCGAGATCAATATGGTTAAGACCAGCGCTGGTGGTGACTACGAAGCGGAGGGAGGGGAGGCAGTCGAGGATAGCAGCGGACAGCGAGAACATAGCAGAGCACAAAGCAGCCTTTGTGTTCTGGGCATGGGCCAAGAGGAATTCAGACAGGGGGAGTGTCGACTCCCATGGTCTTAAGATTCTAAATTTCGAAGAGAATTCTTTTCCATACCGTTTAAATCCAACAGGTGGGCCAAGAGCAATGATTTCTGGGAGATGCTGAAAGTATGGGGCTTTGTGTTCTTCAGCCATGAAAGAGTTGTGATCGGATTCTATGGCAAGTGCTATGGTAGTCCGAAGAAGTAATTATCAGCGAAATTTACATCAAACCCACTTAATTATGCACCAAATCCCAAAAAGAACAACAATAATTTGTTGAACATTTATGAATTTTAAACTTTATAAACTTTATGTTGATTGCCAAGATCGACACGTCAAATCACCAACAAAAATAATTAATGCGAAACATAGCTTTATCCACTGATTTGTATCTTGAATAATGAATCTTGAATTGTAATATTTGAATTTTGTTTTTCGAATCTTTAATCTTGATTCTTCAATTCTTTTTCTTCATTCTTGAATTCCTTTATGTGAGTTTTGGATCTTCCTTTCCAATATGTTTTCTCTATTAATTCTTGTTTTGATGGGATGACACAAAGAGTGCAAAGTTGCATATGATTTAGATACTATAATCATATATATAGTTTTCATATATATTTCATTCATCATGAAATACAATTCTAAATGAATATGATCTATACATATTATTTGACTCACACTTTATTTAAATGTCGTAGCTCAATTACTTAATTTTTTATTAGATCACTATAATTTTTTATTTAACTTTAAAATAACTTTTATACACAATTAATTACATATATTGACCCACATGACAAATTAATAATTTCTCAACAATCTCCTACTTATACCAAATATTTTACCTTATAAATGTATATAACCTTATGAGCTCAAAGCTTTTGTTATCATAACCAAATGGTACATTCGAACAATCTCGTCCATTAATTATGCTAATATACGATCAAAGCGATCTTCGTTACAAATATCATAATTAAACCCATTAATGGTCACATATATCAACCCAACCAAATGATATAGATCAAGTATGGATGTGTAGCATGAAAATTACATGTTATGTGATCTAAACATGTCTATTTCCAATTGGTTATACTTTATTCTTTAGTACCTTATAGTTTAATGAGATCAAACCAAAATTTTTAATCAAAGCGAAAACTAAACTAAATACTTTATTATTCAAATAAACTTGAATGTGCACGATCAAAATCACGTGTTAAAAATCAGCATCGAAAATTACAGACTGCCACTAGACTAGCATATCATCAAAATGTACAATACACATGTGAGCAAAGTGTTCATGAAAGACCTTGGGTGGCAGTCCTTTACTAAATGGATCTACTATCATGGAATTTGTCTCAATATATTCTATAACAACTTAACCACTCTGAATTCTTTCTTTAACAACTAGAAATTTTATATCTATAAACTAGACTTTGTTGAACTTTTAGTGTTTTTGAATACAAGACTGCTGATTTATAGTCACAAAATAACTTAAGCAGTCTTTCAATTCTATCTAAAATTCGTAATATAATGACAAAATTTTGTAGCCATTTTTCTTGAATGGATGCGGCATAACTTGCTATAAACTTCACTGCTATGGTTGAAAAAGCTATGAGTGTTTGCTTAACACTCTTCCATAAATATAACTTCTCCAGCCAGCAGAAAGACATAGCCCAATGTGAATCTCCTACTGTCTTGGCATATAACAAAATCAAAATAACCAATGATCTCCAATTTGTCCGATTTCTTGTATGTGAGCAAGTAATATTTTGTTCTCTGTAAATACTGCATAACCCGATTGGCTGTCTTCCAATGATCCATCACATGATTACTTAAATCTTCCAACAATGAATGCTATATCTGAATGTGTGCATACCTGAGCATACATTAAACTCCCAACTGCGAAACATAGGGAATTTTCTGTATTTCCTTTTCTTCAAGATCATTCCTAAGGCATTGATTGAGACTAAACTTATCTCCCTTAGCAACAGGGGTATCTCTTGATTTGCACTCGTGCATCCCATATCTCTTAAGTACCATACCGATAAAACACTTTTGTGATAATCCAAGAATAATCCAAGAACAATCTCGGTGTATCTGTATTCTTAATACAAAAGATGCATTACCAAAATCTTTCATTTCAAAATTCTTTGATAGAAATCACTTATTTTTGTGCAATAAGCCTATATCTTCGCAAGCAAGCAATATGTGATCGACATACAATACCAGAAGTATATATTTACTCCAGCTTAATCTGTGATATACACAATCATCAAATGCATTTATCTTAGAACCAAACAAGATGATTATTTGATGAAATTTGTGATACCATCGACGAGAAGCTTGCTAAGCCCATAAATGAATTTCTTTAATTTGTAAACCACTTTCTTTGGGTCTCGTGACACAAAGTTTTTTGGTTGCACCATATATATCTCTCATCAATGTCACCATCAAGAAATGCCGTCTTTACATCCATCTGATGTATCTCAAGATCAAAATATGCCACAAGTGTCATTATAATTCTGAAAGAGTCTTTTTGAAACTAGCGAGAGAGCCTTTTTTGTAATCAATGACTTCCCTTTGAGTAAAGCTATTTGTAACAAGGTGAGTCTTTTATCTTTCCACATTACCCTTCGAACCCCTCTTGGTTTTATATATCCATTGCAACTAATGGATTTTGTATCTTCAGCCAATGGGACAATTTCACAAACGTAATTATTTTTCATAACATCAATTCACTTCGGAGAATTATCACTTTGCATCACTCAATGAAAGTTGATTGGATTTTTTTTCCATCAATCCAATAACATCTTCATGTTTTTGGAGAAATACTATAAAGTCATCCAGAATTGCATTTCTCCTTTCTCTAGTGATCTCATTAATGACATTTGTTCTTGAGGTTGTTGAGTTTGTTCTTTTGGAACAATTTTTCAATTGTTTATAGGGGTTCTAGAATATTGTTTTGATTCGAAATAGCTTCTTAAACAAGTGTTGGAGCAAGAATTTGTCCCTGATCTAGATCGTAGTCAATTGCAATGGAAATGTTCCTTTTGAAAGATAAAATTCCTAACCTTTATCTCCCCTTGCAAACTCTACATTCTCAAAA